TATATCTCGATTAGTTTTAGGTTATACAAAAACCGTTAGCTGAACAAAACTATTATGATCTGTAGCAACCTGTTGCAAGAGTATAAAAATGTTATAGTCACCGATAGTCATCGCAGCCCATTGTGATAAACGTAGTTTCGAGAAAGATGAGTTTTAGTCTTGTAGTTGACTGACTTGACATTACAGCGATTTGGTTAGTAATGGTTAGAATATGTTTCTTTCTAGTCTGAAAATTAAGTATTTTTTATAGAAATAATTAATATTTTTAAATATCCCAGATTGGGCTAACCTTATAAGAGTCACACGTCTTCGATCATTGTAAAGATATCAACTATCAAGCAAATTGTTTAATCAGTTTTCAAATTATAATTATTATTGGTGTTTTCTCTTGTGTGTGTGCCGTTATGTAGGTCACACCAGAAAATGTTAATGACATTAATATTCTCTGTCCTGACCACTCCTTGCTTGCGATCGTTCAACTTGCTTCGTTCTATGTGTGAGTGTTGTTCAATGTGTGAGTTATATATTTATGAAATTGCTTGAAAATATGATCTCAAGTATACCTCTGCAACGTCAAAATTAAACCAATTTGCCCATTCACAATATAGCCTGTATAATAATTTCCGACTTTCCACCTGACAATATATGTGATACTTTAATTAAATTAAATGAAAAAGTTTTTTTTAAAATTGTGTGGGAATAGGAATGAAAGTGGTCTAGACTTATATTCCTAAAATAATGAATTGCGATCCTCTGGTTGACGTTATCACATCAACTCATTTAGCTTCTTCAGTAGAATTTATTTGCCATATATCTTATTTGAAGATGATTTTAATACAATTTTAGCCGACGGGAAGTAAAATATTGTAATGAACCTAAGTGTTTCTATAACCTATAATACAACTTAATAATTCTGATTGTAATCCATTTAAAATTTAATCGAATAATAAATGTTGAATTGTTTCCCAACATTTTTTAATTTAAAGTTTTCCAAACACCTGAAGGTATTTTCCCTTCTTTGATCCTTGAAAGTTGCAAGAGTGTAAGCCGTTCGGTGACACCCGAACTTAGCTCTTCCTTACTGGTTATTTTTATCTTTTCAACAATATTTATTTCCACGAAATTTGGGGTAAACTAACGCTTATATGCCCACATCCTTTAATTTTGTTTGATTTAAAATATTAGTTTTTCCACCTTATTTTGACTTAATAACGGGGAAAATCCTAATTTTCAATCGAAAACTCTCTCGTCAAAACACCTGCCTTTTTTAAAAACTCGGTAGTATTTTTGATTGGTTAAATCTGTACTTTCTGATGGAGTAAAAAATATACACATTACTATTCTAAGTTTTATCAGAAAATGTAAAAGCGACCCTACTAAACTATTTGAGCTGGATATTTTATTTTCTCTACCTGTTGTTTCGTAGTAGAAAATGTAAGAAAAAAGCAGGTTTGAATCGTTTGTTGATGTCTTTTTTTTGCATTTTCTGATAACCATTAGGAAATAGAAATTTCAGAAAAAATAAATCCCATGATATTAAAAAAACTTTTATTTTCAAGTGAATGCTGTTCTATTTCAAATAATTTTTTTCTTTTTTTATTCTAGTCAAAATTAAGAGAAAATATAAATATTCTAATTACTAGAAGTATAGTGTGTGGTAAGGAAAAGATAAGTTTTCTCTTCCTCTTTCTAATTTCAGAAGAATTTATGAGGTTTTATCTTTCTTTTCCAATAGGTTTCCCTCTACTATGATTCTTTTTACTTTTATCATTTTTAAAGGCTATTCACTGGCCTATAGAAATCAGAGATCAATTTGAAACCAACATGAGTAGAGTTCGAATTAAGAATGCATGTTATCGTATTTTTATCTTGCTGCCAAGTTGGGCGTGTCTTGACGGGGGATTGCTGACTTTGTCTTGATACATTTCGCTTAGGGCACTTTTTCGGGTCGTTGCCTTTGCTATTCTTTTCGCAACTCGACGACGGAACAGTCAAACTGACGCTACAAGTTGTACAACTTGTATATACAATTTTTAATATTTGTTGCATTAGGAAACGCAACAGTACCCATCACATCAACTTATCACGCCAGTTCGCCGAGTGCCCTTGGCTGAACCGTAGTAATAGCTTTATCTGTTATCAGATAGCATGTTTCCTCGATATTTTACAATATATTCGGTATATACGAACATACTTTTGTACATACATGTGTACTAAGGGGCAGGTAGGTATATTTCCTCAATATAAATTAATAACATTTAATGCAATTAAGTCGATAGCAAACATGTGAGACTAAAAGCAACACCACAATAATATAATGGTGATAAAATCTTGCAACCATCAAAACAATAGGGAAGCAGTGTTATGAAAATTAACTTTGCTTATTGACTTTTCTGAATTTTGTGCGACAAAAATACCTTATTTCTTTTCTGCTCTGACGTTTTCAAATATTTATTGTTTGCTCATTTAGCTCCAGTTTTAGGATTTAATTTGTTTTGAGGCATTCTACATACACATTGCCTAAATATTTAAGTGTGTGGTTTATGAACTTCCATAAATTCTTAATTTTAATAACGGAACATTTTCATGAAAGACATTATTATTTGCAGTTATACGAGAATATTGAATGTATTAACTCTAAAGACCCTGGATATGTCAATATGTATATAGGTATATACGCAAGCACAATTTAATTAAAATTCCAAATCCGTTAAATAATTCCAACAATAATAAGATCATCCGTATTACGAAATACATACGATTAGAGCTGTAGGAAAAATTTATATAATTTGGACGCTTGAGTTGACCAGTATACTTAACTACTGTCTAATATTAAATTTTCAACAACACAAAATAAAATATAGGTACAGGATTGTATACAGTATGAATGAGCATACAGTGCGTTCAAAAAATATCGTTTCCGTTTCCAAAGTGTAAGTAGCGTTTATTGGGAAAAATGTTCTTATTACAGAAAATACATTGTTTTGTTATAGCTGCGGTTTATTCAATACTTGCTCCAACCTCCCGCATTGTCAATTATGGGCTGGCATCTTTGATGACAACTTGCAACTAAATTTGCAAGTTGGGTTTCTTGTTTCCATTGCTTGCATTCTCTAATCATGGTTATTTTTGTCGTAAAACATTTCAGCTGACTTCAGTAAACCATTTTTATACAATTTTAGAATTCTAACTGCGTTCAGGTTATCTCTCTCAACTCAAGCAACTCAAAACCTAAATTAACGAGCGGGGAAACATCCGTAAACATACACCTTTTGATGCTTAAGACTTCTTTGAATAAATGTTTGTTTTTCTTACCCAAACACACCTCAAAGGGTTGAATAATAAAAAAGTTTACTCATCTCTAAATATTACATTGCTCCAATAACGGTTGATGTTTTCCAGCACCCAATGCATCTTTTTTCCAATGTATGTGTGTTTTAAAATTAGATGTTTGATTACAGTGCTGCTGCGTTTAATGCTACATTTCTGAAGTCTGTCCCGTATGGTATTTAGAAATTTTACTGAGAAGTGGTTTCTTCTCAAAAAGTAGAACAATGGTTTTGTCCTCACTTTTAGATATCTACTATAGATCATATATTATAATTAATATTTATATTAAAATCAATCTAATTAACACAAATCTCGATATTCATGATATAAATGCCGTGGGAGACTACATACCGATATCCATAATTTGTATTACCGAATGACTAATAACTAATACTAATTAAAATAATCCCCCTTAATTTAATTGAGATATCTTCTATTGAGATATAAGAGATACAAACTCAACCAAAAGGGCTAAATGTAATATTTAAGTATCTGAGGAAAAAGTAAATCAGATAATCGGAAAAAGAGAAAATTAGAAATATGGTGCTTAGACCAAGATCTAATCTAAGACACTCACTTCAAATTTTTAAATATTACGCATATTGACCAACGTAAACAACTTACCGTCTGGTAGAAAATCAAAATTAGTACAACGAGTTTAAAGTGAGGTTGGAACTCGGAAATCTCTATCTCGGGTATATACCTACTAACCTATGATAATGCTATGTCAAACCTAAAAAGCACTATTTGTGCAAAGTTATATTGTCATATCTATATAGGTGCTCGATTTAATATAATTACTATTACATTAAACTATAGTATGACCAATATTATTCGGTTAGTTATTTTGTTAAGGTATCTTACATATTGACCGATATATACGGCATAAAGGCAATCAGAAGTTTGAAAATCGTATATTAGGTAGTGTTATCTATTTTTGGTATTACTACATATTATTAACAGAAAAATATACTATTTTCTTTTAGGTTTATGGGGACTAAGGGAACTATTGATCCGATTTAACATCTTTTTTAATTTCAGATAAAAATTATCTCTGAGTTTCTATAATAAACCCAATAGATTGACCGATATTTTCGATAAAAAGTTTCCAATAGAAAGTGGCGTCCATATACTCGGTACCTGGGGGTTTGAACAGTTTTGGTTCGATTTGGATAAGTTTTGGTCTTAAGCTGGCCCAATTTATCTCTATTCGTGCAAAGTTTTTTGGTTATATCACTTTATACGTTTTCAATTAATGGCGTTTTATGGGCGGGGCAGTTGTCCGATTACGCCCATCTACAAACTTGTTCTTACTCTTTTACCAAGGGACACGCGTACCAATATTCATCAATATATCTTAAGTTTAACTCCAATTATCGCTTGCACAGACAGACGGACGGACAGACATACATCCGGATTTCAACTCGCCTCGTCATCCTGATCATTTTAATTTATATAATCCTATATCTATCTAGATTAGCTTTAGGTGCTACAAACAACCGTTTGGTGAACAAAACTGTTATACTCTGCAGCAAAATGTTGCACGAGTATAAAAACTATTCGGTGATATCAAATGCTGAACAAAAACGCAAAAAAATTACATTAATTCACTGCACTTTATTTATGTATGCATATAATATATGGTACATTTTATTTTGCTTTCTTTTCAGGAATTTTACATTGAGGTAAAATAACGAAAGTTGGAGGCAGCTGTGAATGGGAGAGCTATAACTAAAGAGTTCAAAAGTTTTAAATAACAGTGAAGCGAAGAAATGCAACCAATTTGAGTGGAAAAAAGTGAGAGTTTTTACAAACGTGGAAGTGTGGACCGATGTAAATTTGCGTTGGAGCGTGTTTTTGGAAATTATTCAGCCAAAGGAATTTTTTGGGACCAAAATAGATAAGCAGGGGACAAAGTCAATCATGGTGAGTACATGCGAAATAAAAAATAATAACTGAATAACTTTTTGGAAGTAGTAAAATAAAATCGGAAAATATGTATATGATTTTACATATTTTTATACCCTGAACAACGTATATTAAGTTTGCCACGAAGTTTGTAACACCAAGAAGGAAACTTCGGAGACCCTATAAACTATATACATAAAAGATCAGCACGATGTGTTGAGTTGATTTGGTCATGCCTGTCTGTCTGTCCGTTTGTCCGTCCGTCCGTCTGTATATATGCAAACTAGTCTCTCAGTTTTGGAGATATCGATTTTAAATTAAGCATATGACCGTTTCTCCCCAAGAATCTGCTCATTTGTCGGAATGTCCGATATCGGACCACTATAGCATATAGCAACAATCGGAATCATGTTCTTGCATTGAAAACTTTTTCATTTGACGAGATATCTTCATGAAATTTGGAACGAAACATTATCTAAATCAATAATGGAATCTCCAAAGAAATTGTTCAGATCGGATCACTACAACGTATAGCTGCTATACAAAATGAATGTTCGGAATACAAGTTCTTTTGAGGAACCTTTTGTATTTGTGAAGGGTATTATAGCTTTGGTGAAACCGAAGTTAACGTTTTTTCTTGCTTTTGTGTGAAATAAAAATACGAGTACACAGTTATACATATACAAGTAAGTATAAGTGCGAGTGTATATGAATATTACCTATGCATGAACATCCAATGAATTATTGCCGGAAAGAAGTAATTTAAAGCAACACAAACAAAACATTATACTACAATATATATTACAGTTATACTTAAAGAAGGTTATTTATTGATGTAAGGCTCTTCTATAATCCAAATGAGTTCATATATGTATGGGTGAGTTCGAGAGGGCAATCACGACAGTGTTGCAAAATTGTCAAAGTATCACGTTCTGCGTGAATTTTTGGCAACATTTGCAAGAGCATTATGTTCTACTGCCACTTTTTGCAAGCAATTTATGCAAATAATCGGCAACACTAAATTTTTGTCTACACACCAGCAGAGTATCAGCAAATATGCAACACAGTAGCTACACTGCTGCAATTATTACGTAACTCGAACGCTCCCTATATGTATTCATTTGTAAACCATAATTTTATGATTTATGCTTATGCATATTGTTCTTGCTATTGTGACTTATAGTAAATTATAAATAATTTTCGATAACATATATATATCTAATTTTTTATATAAAGTATTTCATGAACACAGCTGAACTTCTTAGGCTTTTATTTGGTTTACAATTCAAAGTTTCCTGATTTTATCCATTTTGGGCAAGAGGATGCATTGTTATTAGAAACAGATTCTTTTTGAATTTCAACAAGATTTCTTACCGATAGATGCGGTATAAAGTCAGATTGATGTTCGAAATTGATTATATTAGGTATATGGGGCTAAGGGAAATGAGTTGATCCAATTTTACCATTTTTGGCACAAGGGCTTTCCGTTATTAAAAACATGTTCTACCCGAATTTCAATAATAAACCTCACAGATTGACGGATATGTTTGATCAAAATTTAGCCTTATACACTGAGGACCACATATTTGGTGTTTGGGTCCTTGAAAAGTTATAGTCCATTTAGACAATTTTTGATTTAAAAGATTTTTATATAGGAAGTATTGCCCATAGTCCAAATTTTACAACTGCTGCAATAAAGTCCTTCCCTACTATTTTGGTTGTGAAACTAAATGCTTGCAGCGCATTTATTCAGTGAATTATTCTACTGTTAATGGTTTTCAACATAACCCTTATATGGGGAGTGGGAGTGGTTATTATCTGATTTATAGTAGGTTCCACAAATAAAGCAAAGCTCCAGCTACTTTACAAAGATTGAGATTAGATCCTTTTTCAATCCGTTAAGAAGTTTTTTAAATTACTCTTCATAAACATCTAGGTATTCCAGACAAGACTCCTGTTTTCTTTCTCGGTTTGCAAATAACCATTACAATTACGAACCTTTACGAGTGTACTTTAACATTTATAGATTATAGCTAGCAGCGGAGTATTTTTTAATTTTCTTTCCATTTGCTTTTTGAATTATTCTTTGCTGAAAACTATTTGAACTAAAAGGCTTACATACATATATACATGTTAGGTGTAGTTATAAGAAAACCATTATTTTTGCATGAAATTGAAGGCTTTAATTACCGTAGTTTTGTTTGATAACTTATTGCCATTTTGAGGGTAATTTCATTATGCCTCATTCATAGAAGTCTTCGTTCCTATTGGCAAAATATTGAGACAGTCGATTTCCCCAGGCCCCTCTTGAAGCCAATTTTTTACCAGCAAAATTATTCGCCATGGACAGGAACAGATGGTAATCACTTGGTGCCAGGTCCCGGTAATAAGGTGGATGCGTAAGAACCCGGAACTTCTGGCGAGTCCTAAGTGAACACAATTCCTCTCCTATTGGCCAAAGCTGGCCGCTTCAGGGCGATTGTTTCCTTCAGACGGTCGAATTGCTGACAGTAAAGTTCCGAGTTGAGAGTTTGCTGTATTGGAGCTGCTCATAGTAGATAATTCCCTGCCAATCATACCAAATACACAGCAAAACAGTCCTGGCCGCCAATCCTGGCTAGGTCACAACTTCCGCCGGATCACCGCGTTTCAACCACGACCGCTTTCGCTTCACATTGTCGGAAGTGATCCACTTTTCATCGTCAGTCACCAACCGCTTCAGAAATGGGTAGATTTTGTTGCGATTCAGCAGCGATTCGCAGATGGAAATTCGGTCCATGAGGTTTTTTTGCGTTAACTCGTCTGGCACGCATAGATCGAACTTCTTTTCATATCCAGCCTTATTCAAATGGTTCCTAACGGTTTTTTGTGCAATCTTTAGCTCTTGGGCAATCGAAACAGTGCTTACATGGTCGGACTCAACAATGTCTATGATTTTATCGAGTGCATGGTGCAGCTTTGACATCGAAATTACCGGAACGGAATCGACGAAGAAAAATTGTAAAATATACTTAGCTATTTTCTCTTTACTAGTGTCCATCTTTGACGCGTGCTCAAACAAAATTGAATCAACCAATCACAAAACTGTCAGAAAGATCACTTTAGTACAAAATGTCATCTGTCTAACGCTATCTAGCGGAACCCGTTCGAACTTATACAACGCGAGATACAGATAAATAACGCCAACTATATAAATAATGGATTTCTTTTTACTACAATATACGGAATATAGCACGTGAAGCTATAATTTTTAGATAGAAGCGATATTAGTACTAAGATTTTTTTTTTACCAGCTTAACTATATTAATGCGTCCTAACATTTCTGTATGATAGTGGCAGGCTGGAATGTCAACGTATGTATATGCATTTATGGGTGTTTAGATATGTATTTTCGTTTATGCGAATATCAGCTTTATATTGGCAGGAGCTCATTGATGATCACATGGAAATAATTGAAAATAATCATTAAAAACACAAATTTACATATAAAGTGAAAACTCCCTTGGCGAACACTCACCGTCGGGCGACTTTTGTCCTCCCAAGAGAGATGTCCGCTTAAGGCAGTGGGTAGTCATATTATATTGCTCAAACAATAATTTTTATGTATTTTTTCAAGCGTTCATTTAAATACATATACAAAAACAAATATTCGACCTTAAACTATAAATAACGTAAAACAAAAATATTGAACTTATTATTTATTACTAGGAAATTGTCGATTACCGCAAGCTTTTTTGCTCTTTTAAAAGGAAAGTTATTTGTAAATGAATTTCCAATTTTTGCAATAAGGTCTTCCCTGCAAACTTCTTTAAATTTGAAGCAGCAATCAAAGCAACTTCATTCATTACCTTATTTTATTACTTCTTTCGGTAATACTCTTTTGTGATAAAGTCATACTGACTAGTTTCTCAGAGGGGTTTTGACAGTGAGAAAATTTAAGCTAACGTTGCTAATGTTTTTAGGTTTCTATTTTTGTCAAACCTTGCTTTTTGAAGGCAATTTTTTATGGTTTCCGGTTGAAACTTCATCCAGCCTCCTTAAAAAATATAATATATTGCCTCTAAAACATTTATATTTTTTTAGGCGAGCCTGTCTATGTGCTTTCCAAGATATCTTTAACTTGAAAGTTTCGATAATGAATTTTAAAATGTAGAATAATTCCCGGATCCAAAGGATGACAAACTGAAGTCGTGGTCCTAGGCAGAAAAGTTATTTTAACACTTTTAAAACTTATTTCGCGAGGGCGAGATACTACGTTGTTTAAAAATATTAAAACTTTTAAATTTTTTTGTCAAAATTTTTCTGTCGTTGTGTGATTACGTCACGTGCCATCCATGCCCTCTTGTTTGACTGCCAATTTACTAGAACTTTTTTAACATCTTTTTTCATCAACATCGCTTTTGCGTCTAAGCTCTCGGATGGGTAGCTTTCTCAATAACAAAGGGATTTTCGTTTTCCCCTGCCATATTTGCACAAAATAAGACAGTCAGCTCAATGACAAACCTCGTTTTTTAGATTTTTTTTGTTTGGTAAAGCCCGGAAGAAAATACCTGTCTCGTCAGCATTATAAATATCTCTAGGACTATATCCGATCACTATTGCCGGCAGTTTCTCCAATATTTTTTCTGTACATCTTGCATATTAACCGCAGCAATTTCACCACAAATGAACCGAAATTTTATGTTATGTTAAGCCCGGCTTTTTTGTAACCAGCCGTTAGAAGACAGAAATCATTGATGCTGAGCTTTTGGGCGATCTCTTTTGCTTTCGGCTGTACTATTGGCCCAGATATAAGAATATTTTGGCTCTCCGCTCTATAAAACCACTCGAAATGAATTTAATCAAATTTTTTCCCATCTGGTTTCACGAATGATCTTTTTATTTCAACATTATCCCCTAACATCCGAATACATTCTTTATAATCAGCGCAGCATGGGTTTTTCCAACTTTCAATCTGATAATAAAAATCGGACTTATTTACATCAAATTCTGCATATAAGGACTAATACGACATGGAA